TTAACAGACCAGCTGTCTGGGGCTGGTGGCAGGACTGCAGGTCACGCGACAGGTTATTCCGCACCCTGCACTGATAGGATCTGGACCACAGGTGAATGCTGTCAGCCCTGCCAGGCGCACCAGGGAGGTTTTCATGCAAGCAAGGTCGCAGGAGGACTTTCCAGCCATGCCTATGTCTGAATTTGCTGCCTGCATAGCTGCCTGGGGGGGGGGATGGAGGCAGTGGAGACAGAAGCACAGAGGTGGAGGAAGTCGGGGATAGGATTTTGGGGGGGATGGAGGCAGTGGGAACAGAAGCACAGAGGTGGAGGAAGTCGGGGATAGAAATTTCAATCCCATCTCCTGTGGAAGATTTAAATGGTGCTTCAGATTTATAGCAGGGGAATTTCACTCTGGGTGCTGAAGTAAGAGCCCGACCCCCACAGAGCAGCTGGTGAGGATTAGGTCAGACTGAAGTGACACAGATAAATGGGGAAACCTGCCTCTGTCCCCTCCTAATCTCAAGCCTGAAGCTCACACTGACCCGTTTCCCTTGCCACGGATAAATGGGGAAACCTGCCCCTGTCCCCTCCTAATCTCAAACCTGAAGCTCACACTGACCCGTTTCCCTTGTTTCCAGACCCCTCTTAAGGGGACATCCGTGGGAATTAGAGGCCTCCGCACCTTTGAAGAGCTAGGCCTTGCCTCCAGCCACCTCGAAGCAACCAAGTGTTGCAAACCGCGGAGGTGTGGCCGGCTGGGATCTTAGCCCACACAGCTGGGTACCTCAGGACTTCAAGGGGTTCACTAATCGTGGCTGGAAGGAGCTAGGGAACAATGGCCTAATAGGATTGCTTCAAGAGGCCGGAATGAAAGGAATCCGGCCGGAGGCAATAAGGATCAAAACCCCTTCAGATCTCTGAAAAGGCCAGGTAAAAGACACTGGTCGCTAGCGGCCAACGCTGAGAGGCAGCTGTGTCTCGGGCAAAACGCCCGTTGTTCCCAGCTGGAGTTGTACCTCAGGCAGGCGTCTTCAACAAGGCCGGGAAACCCGCCTGAAATTCAGGGGGTGCCAGGCCTCCTTTGACAGGGCTAGGGTGGCTCCCAGATCTGGCCATACAAATATGGAAACTTCTGAGGTGGGTTGGCTCCTGGCCGTATCAATGTATGTCAAAGCGTACGCCCCGTGAATGATAGTTCTCTGTGAGACAGCGGTGCCCTTCGGGGTGTGGAGGACACGGCGAGCCCTGGAGTGCAGCGAAACTACGGTTTCTAAAATCCGTCCTCCACCAAAAATGACGTCCAGGCGTGTGGCACATCGTTCCTGGGCCGCCTTCGGAGAGAGCGTGCGGAAGAGCCCCGGATATCGCCAGCTGCCCCCGAAAGGGCCTTGCTCAAGGGATGAGATGTCTGACGAGCTCAACTCTTTCGCCCTGGTCGCAGCGCCGTAGCCATGACAACCCAGGTCCGGAGTACCTCACTCAAGCTTTGTGGAGCGCACGTTGTCCCTGTGAATTTCCAGGCCCCTCACAGATAGGTGCTGTGACACTCAGCCTCATAACATGCTTTGTGGATGCCTTTGTGTCCCTTTGCGGATGCCACCACTATGTCTACACTGGAAAAGCCGCCGCCGCCTGGCTATAATGTAGACACTGAGGCTGTGTCTAGACTGGCAAGTTTTTCCACAAAATCAGATGATTTTGCGGAAAAACTTGCCAGCTGTCTACACTGGCCACTTGATTTCCGCAAGACTACTGATGATCTCATGTAAGATTGTCAGTGTTCTTGCGGAAATACTGTGCTGCTCCCGTTCGGGCAAAAGCCCTCTTGCGCAAATCATTTGCGCAAGAGGGCCAGTGTAAACAACACAGTACTGTTTTCCACAAAAAAGCCCCGATCACGAAAATGGCGATTGGGGCTTTTTTTGCGGAAAACGGCGTCTAGATTGGCCACGGACGCTTTTCCGCAAAAAAGTGCTTTTGCGGAAAAGCATCCTGCCAACCTAGATGCACTTTTCCGAAAATGCTTTTCACGGAAAACTTTTCCGTGAAAAGCATTTTTGGAAAATCATGCCAGTGTAGACGTAGCCTGAGGGTTTGTCTACACTTGAAACTACAGATTAATGGCTGTGTCCCTGAAGTGATTCAGTGTAGACAGACGGGGTTGTCCTATTGGCGTAGTTAATTCACTCCCCCAAGAAATGGGAGCTAGGGAAAACTATTTTTGATAGCCTAGCGTTGTCTACAGCATAGGTTGACATTTTCCACAGCACGTGACCTTTTCCACCGCTGTCAGCGATGAAATGAACACCAATGTTGCACTGTATCCAGCCCTCCGTGACTGCCCTTTTGACTGTGAAATTGTTCTGCACCTTGGATTTGTGCAGAACCTCTTCAGGGACTGAACACATCAAAAGCGTCAGGAGAAATCCTTCCATTTAGCACGGGGCTAATAAGGGAGAACAACCAAGAAGCAGTCCGTTCCATGACC